AATTAAAATTAAAACATAAATGGTAGATTAAATAAATAAATAAATAAATAAATGGTATGGAGATTCTGGCATCCAAGGACATGCAAAGGTCTTCTCCATCCTCCTAGAGAGAGAGAGAGAGAGAGAGAGAGAGAGAGAGAGAGAAAGAGAGAGAGAAACTCCTGTATAACAACTGGGGAAGCAGAGAGAGATAAGAAGGCATGTCTGTCTCTGAGGACTTTGTCCTGGGGAACACAAACATAGAAGTGTGAAAGTACAAAATACCATGCCAAGTGTTATCATGGGCATACGAAGTGAGGTGCCTGAGCCCTATCTAGGCAATTCAGATGATTAGGGAGAAGAAACCAGAGATATGGGATGTTTTTTTGTTTGCTTTGTTTTGTTTTAATTTTGCCTAATGCTATTAAAATTTAAAAGGATGGAAATTGAAATAAAACAGATACTACTGTTTTTACAAAGTGGAATATAAATTTACCAAATTTAATACAATCGACTGTTTATTGAGAATGTGGAGTATGATGACAAAAAGAACCTAGTTCTTAAGGAGTTTATAAATTAAACAAGGAGGTGTTGGATATGAAAACAGCTAAATTAAATTTCAATATAAAGTAGAATTTACTGAATTCTGTCACAGAAATTCAAACAAGATTCTCTGAAAAAAAAAGGTAGGAGGATAGTAAGGCTTCAGTAAAAGAGAACTCACATTAAGCCGAATCGTATGTTAGTTAGTGGGCAAGACAATGAAGGACGTGTTGAAAAGGATGGAAATGCTGACTATGCTTGGGTGGTGGAGACTATGGAATACTGGGAGCATGGAATACACTGTGAGATGTGGTGGGAAAGTGAGGATGGGAAGGTAGTATAGGGCCAAATTGAGCCCCATGCCTAGAATTTTGGGTTAAACCCAAAGATCATGGGAAACAATTAAACATGTTTGATAAGCATGCTGAAAAAGCCAAAGAATAAGGTTCAAGAGTCAGTCAAGGAAATATTCTATTCACTTAGACCTTTGAAGAGGTGATTTCTCAGCAAACACATGCTTTCCACAGGTTATTCAATGAACCTAACAACAGTGACAGACTCTCCCTGAAATAGGAAGCCCCCGTTGGCTGGACCACTGGGTGGCCCTGCACCTTGCCCAGGTGCTCATCCATCAGGCGAGTCCTTCAGTGCCAATGATGCTGTACAAATGGGAGATACTTTCATATCTCAATATTATGTTTTAGCACTCACTAATAAAAATACTCAACATGCAAAAAAAAAAGAAAATATGTTTGATGAGGGGCATGATATCATTTAATGTATATTTTAGGGAGAATAATTTCTGACAAGTACTATGACAGCCTAGACAATGTGAATTATTGAAAGTAAAGGAAAATTGAGGAGTTTGATAACAGCCCAAGTGAAAGGTTTTAAGATTTTGAACTAGGATTACAGTTCAGAGAAAATGAAAAAGGATTGGATATAATAAAGACAATGGGGGATGGGTGCTCTAAAAAGCAGGGCACCATAATGGATTATTAAGAAATATATGTGTGTGTGTGTGTGTGTGTGTGTGTGTGTGTGTGTGTGTGGTGCACACACACACACACACACACACACACACATATATATTTTAGGGTTTATATGCAGTGTGTTTTGCATTCTTGTCCTGTGTACAAGAGAACCACCCAGTTTGATATGTCTTTCCTTTTTCTATCCACAACAAATACTTTGAAAAAATTTTAGGAATCCAAGCAGTAAAAGTGAGTTTTATCTGATGATTAATTAATTGAGTTTTTTTGGTTATTGTTTAGACTAATCTCAGGATAACTTTTACAAGGGCATTTGCAAGTGAAATGGACAAAACATCAGTATTTCTATCCTGCCTCAAATAGAGTGCAAATATTTGTTTCGGGTTGTGTTTTTCATTTGTTTATTTACCATATCGTGGGACCATAATTTTTTTTCCAATATGTTTTCACTGTGAAGAGCAACACTTCTTAGTTTTATTTGTAATAGCCAGTTATTCACAAAGATGTGTGTGTGTGTCTGTGTGTGTGTGCATGCATGCCTACATTGGTATGTATTGATTTGAGAATGTCATTTGCTCTTTCTTTGCTGGAAACATTTTTCTTCTTTGCTGAGCATTCTTTCTTAGCAGGGGGAGATAACAGTTTTTTTACTAATGGCGTGGGTTTCACTCATCTATTAAGATTAGTATAATGCAGTCTCACAGATTAAATGTCTGAATGCATCCGATAATTATGCATCTATCTTAACATTTCAAAGTTGGTCATCCACTTTTAACTGCAGATGCTCACACTAACCTTGCAAGGACACAGAGTTTAGACTCCAAGCAATTTTCTGCTTCAGTTTTGGCAGTGGTAACAAGCCTAGTGATGGTCCCAGCTGGGAGAAAACTGTCAGTGATGGGGAGAATGGCAAAATTCAGGGCTCCTGAAATGGAGTGTGGTGGTGGTGGTGGTGGTGGTGGTGGTGGTGGTGTGTGTGTGTGTGTGTGTGTGTGCGTGTGTGTTGGGGAGAGTAAGAGAAGAGAAGGAACTGGAGAAACAAGAAATGTGAACCTTTTACCTTTAAGCTCTTATGTTGTCAGTAATGAAGAACAACCAACATTACCATCATGTAAAACATAGCATCAGAGCTCAGGCTGAGGTACCCAGTCAGGACATAACATGTGTTTTATATTGAAAAGAAATGTATCCTCTCTCATATACCTGGAATCCCACAGGAACATTCGTATTATCATGCTAAGAAAATAGCTTTCAGTTGACAGGAATTAATTAAAGGAATCATAAAGGCTGGTTCTATAAATGGGAGTCCTTATTTGATTTTGAGATGTAGAAACGTTTGATTGAGTACATGACCCGTGTATCACTGATGTTCTTTATGGCCATCTGAATGTTCCTCTAACGTTTCACGCCACTGTTCACAGCAGCATGTAAACCAGTCACCACAAGTGCTACCCCATAGGAGCACAGAGGAGGGCAGGTTTAGGAGAGTGGTGTTGAAAAGTGGCACTGTTGAGAGACTGGAAGCTTAAGGACAACTTATTTTCATCCACCATCTGCATTGCTCTCAGGATTCAAGTTTTTTTGCTACGTGTTGTTGAGTGTGGTAGAGCTCATTGCTGTTATATAATGGCAAGAAAAGACCCTTTTGGTAAGTCATAAAATGCACTGTTGGAAATCTCCTGAAGCACTGAGCTTCCTGAAGATTTGGGAAGTGATCAAGTGAGCTTGGTTGCATGTACTGTTCATTCCCCAATTTCTCCTTTGCAGCAACTCTTTATGTCGCTACCGCACAGCACAGCAGCTCTACCCCAGAGGCAGGATCTCATTGTAGGGAGTGGGAACTTGGGCCTTACACCAGCCTGCCAGTTTTCATAATCCTGGCACTGCCAGAGAGCTGGCTGGGTGACCTCAGGCAAGGTACTTAACCTTTCTCTACCTCGGTTTCCTCACCTGTTAATTGGATTCATCAGGTAGTTGCAAATATTGAATGAGTTTCTATGTAGAGAATATTAAGCATGGTGACTGAAACCTAGGAAGTTCTCAATAGTTCAAACTATAATCGTTCTCATATTTCTCCCTTCTTAAATTAGAAGAAGATACATATGGAAGAGTAACCCTGAGAATGACTTAAGAAAATTGTCATTCACAGCAGTTCAAGAACACAACTTCCCCATATGCTGGATTAACCCGTGGCACAGTAGATAATCCTACACTGAAAAAAACTTAAATCATAACTTGCGCCAGAAATTCATTTTTTGGTATTATTTAGGCCTGACTAAAAACTACAGAAACCAAAAAATAAATCAGGTATTTAAGTACTCTGAAGCAGAGTATAAACACAGCTGTTACTGTACAGACAGTGGAAGAATCACTTAAAGAAATCCATGGTGCAAAAAGCTGTATCTTTAACAGTTCCCAGGGAAGGATGAAAATGTACTGCGCCCACACTTTCCTAAGTGATTTTCCATATTTATTATTTTTAGCACCTTATTTTTTAAGAATGCAAACATAGTTCTGTAGGGCAGTGAAAGGCCTTGTTATTAGGTAAATTGGGTTTTTATTTTTATATTAACCAAAGTCCAGAATGATGGCAGTTATAGGGGATGAAAGATTGCTGAAATGACAGATTGAGTAGTGTGTTTCTCGGGTTATGAAGTTCAGGAAAATGTGTAATTATTTCTGAGTTTCCTAAGGTTCCCCTGTTCAGCATAATGTTCTGACATACAGCAGGGACACTTCCCGATATAAAATGCAAATCAGGAGGCACTGCCCCAGCTGCCGATGCTGGGGTTAATCATGCAAATCTAATGCAATTCTTGGTATTTCAAGAAAGGTTTTAGTTGAAGTCCCATGCACGTATTGATTTAAAATTTCTACCTTAGAGAGCACTGTAATCTTTTTCAGCTTCAAATTTTAAACTATAGAACAGAATTTGGAGACAGATTTAGTGACTGGACATCCATCCTTACTTGTTAATCATGGAAAGGAGTGTTAGTGGGAGGCAGAGTAGGAGCGGGGAGGGAAGGGCATCGTTAAAGACTGTGGAGATTTCTAAGCCTATTAAATGATATATTAGAACTGAATTTACAAATGTTCCATAGGAAGTCCCTTTTCTTTTTATAAGATCAAATCAACCAATTTTATACATGTTTACTGATTGTCTGCTTTGTTCAAAGAAGATGACTAAATCTGGCAAGGACAGACCCAATCAAAAATAACCCTACAACAAGTTCTTAACTTTGGAAATGATATAAAATACCTTTGGAAATGAGACTGTTTACAGGAAGAAATGAAATTGTCTTGCTCACAAGTGCAAGCTGACACATTCTAATAGCCTTTCTGCTGTGCACAATAAGCGTTCAGCTTATCTTTCCAAGAACAATAAAATTTCATGTACTGCTGCCTGACATAAGAATTATTTTTACATATCTCCATATCGCTGACTCTCTTGTAAGTTAATCTCATCTCACATGAATTTTTCACCAGCTTCACTCTGATGTTGATAAAGGAGATGGTTCCATCAAATACATCTTGTCAGGCGAAGGGGCAAGTTCCATTTTCATTATTGATGAGAACACTGGGGATATTCATGCTACCAAGAGACTGGACCGGGAGGAGCAGGCCTACTACACACTCCGAGCTCAAGCGCTGGACAGGCTCACCAACAAGCCCGTGGAGCCTGAATCTGAGTTTGTCATCAAAATTCAGGATATCAATGACAATGAACCCAAATTTTTGGATGGCCCATACACGGCAGGAGTTCCTGAAATGTCCCCTGTGGGTAAGTAAAGAACACTGCTTTTGCAGTGAGTGTCTGATTTTAGATTGCTTGCATTCAAAATTAAATTGTCATTAAGTACTAAAAACAACAACAACAAAAACTTGTTAGTATGTGTTTAGCAATTGTCAGGGTGAAGGGAAAGTCTGAGTTATGTTAGTAGCCAATATCCATTAATTCAACACATTATTTTATTTATATGGAAAATTAATTTTTTTCTTTTATCTTCCTATCTCAATGTCTTCAAGAAATAACTTAGGTCTTACATTTCCTTTTCAATTTAATATTTATTTATATTGTTTATATTATAATTATGCCTTCAGGCATCACCTGGTGATGATCTTTTACTTTTTTCCCCCATGATATTAGGATAATGCTTCTCTGTTCTATGTATCACTCTGGTGGCCAATGTATCAAGAACGCCACCTGTGAGTAGCCAGGCTAACATCCGCATGTGCTGGTCTATTTACTTATATTAAGTGTGCTTGAGCCATAAATATCCATTCATATGCCACGGCTAATCTTTTTGTAACTTCTCCAGAAACTCAAATGCATGAAAATTTATTGTGAATTTATAATAATGATAAGGTGACACCGTGTTGTAGATATATAAATAATAATGAAGGCCGTTTTATTCAAAGGCCTTTAGCATTGCTCTGTTACTAGAAGAAATAGCAAGTAAAGAACTTCTAGTTTGTACTTCATATCAAATAATATAAATTCTATTTTAATTCCATTTATTCAGGTACTTCTGGAACAGTTTACAGCCAGTATGTAATTTAAGTGTGGATGATCTTATAAAATAATAAAGAAAAATCGTGGGAATGAAAAAGAGACCAATTGATTTATGTTTATTTCCCGTTGTTTTTAGTATTGAAGGAGTAACTTTCTTTAAAACAGTAATGGAATTTGTATTTTGACACGTGGGCATTTTAGCCAGTGTAATTTGTTTTACTTTAAATAATTTTGATAATTTCTTTCAGACAATCATTCAATTAAGACATTTACTACACTGGGGAATGGGTTTGCAAAGATGTGTATTATATGTGCCCTTTAGGATAGCACAGTTCAGTGATGCTAAATTTCTGTCCCAATCAGATGGGAGAGAGAAAATTATTTGAAGCACCATGACTCTAGCTGCTAGAGAAATACAAACTGACAATGAGAGAAGTGCTTGTAATCAGGAAATTTCTAAATCCACAATGGCTGAATCTCTCTATAGTTAGCACACATGTAAGCATTTCCATGACCAAACAGGCTTATTTCAAGGGCTCAATACTGCCCACATTTTTGAAGTGCCTCAAGCTTTTATTGCTTCACCACCACCACAATAAAAGTAGCAAGCGGTATTGTCGTAGTAACAAGATTTTGGAGGTTTTAGATACAAGGGAAGACATATTTTCCTCCCCAAATTAGTAACGTTTACTAAAACAGGAATTTTTGAAGTGTGTTTGAGCAATTCAATTCAACTTCACAGTTCTAGTTCTCATGAGCATTTTGGGCATTCTTCATTGGCTTACTAAGGTTTTCTTTTCTTACATAGACTGTAGCTATGCAAATTACATACATGTGAACATTGTTTGGAGGCTGAATTCGGCACCGTAGTTTACATCTTGATGATACTACTCCAATATCAAACAACATGATTGTTATTCACCCATGTAGGTTATTTTATTTCCTTGGTAGATTCAAACAGTTTCAAAACTATTTAGAAAATGATTTTCATATGTCTTCAGGATTTACATGGCACTAATTCAGAATGCAATTTGAACTTAGAACAATGAATATCTATCTTACATAAAATATATGCATTTATAGTGAGTCGTAGTTTATCAAAGTGTTTAATTCTAACCACATATAATAATGTCTAAATAATATAGTATATATAATGCAGACTTTCGGTGTTCAATACTCAGAGATTTTTTTTTCATTGGATGAAATTTAAAATGAGACTAATTTAATATGAGATTTAAAATGCATTAATAAGCCCTTAGGACAGTTTGTCGATTATCAGAGTAGCATAGATAAGCAGGGAAACTTAATTTTTTGTGTGTGAATATGTGTGTATGTGTGTGTGTGTTTCTATTTATTAAATTAGTTAATAAACACTTCAGAGAAAAGGTATTATTATACAAAACCAAATTTACTAGTTTAGTTTTTAAAAATTTTTTAAAAAATTGTTTTCTTTTAAAATTAAGTAGAAAAACATTTTTGCTTATTATGAGAATAAATGTTGCTATAAACATGGTGTGTTGTAGAGAAAATAGAGAACAATAATGTAATTTATTATAACATTTGAAAATATTCAAAATTAAATTTTTAAAAAGATTTCAAAATATACATCATTCACCTTGTTGGTCCTCCCATGTGGCATTCCACAGGGCACAATCAACTAAATCCATCAAATAAAAAACTTCAGGATTTAAAAAATGGTGTCATACACATAACTTCATAATTTCCACCCAATTTTAAAGAAATGGACTTGGTAAGAGAAATTATGATATAGAAAATGGAATGGATTTGTAGCAAAATGGATATTAATGACTTATTTAAGGCATTTGTTAAGAAAGGTCTATGTAGGAATAAGTTTTTAAAAGATGTTGATTTAAAATGCCATACTCAGGAAATTACTAGAAACAAACTGGGATATTAGGAAATATGTAAAGAAAGGATCTTGTCCCATATCCATCAGAAAGGACATAAATTATATGTGCCTAAATATAAGAACTTAGCAAACATGAGTGTCCCTAATATTTTAAAGATTATATTCCAAATGGAAATAAAAAGAACAGATCAGAATAAATGCTTTCCATACTGAGTAAGTGAATACATGGTAAAATAAACAATATGGCATTCTATTAAGTGCAATAGAAAAAAACAACTTGTAATGCAATTTTTAAAGTTGCCATACATTTTCTCCTCTGGGAGGGTTTGGTTTCAATTTTCATTTCATGTGTGTTGTTTGTTTTTAATAATTAGTAGAAACAAATAAAAAGTAAAACAATTTTCAAGAAGGTTGAGTAGCCACCTCATATCCAGTTAAATGGATCAAATATTATTTATACAGTGAATGAAATTTACATTTCTGTCTGGCTTTAACTAACTACAAAAGGGAGATGCCCACAACAATTTGAGGGTCTGAGATGCTGTTACTTGTCATGCTGCCGTCTGGACAGTGAGCAAGTCTTGTAGAGACTGCTCTTGATTGAAAAGATAAATTAACAATTGCAAATAAATCTAATGTAGAATCTGCAACATTTTGCAAGTGGAATTTGGAAGTTTTTAATTAGTGATTTTTGGATTGGCACCTAGGGACCTCAGTGGTGCAAGTGACAGCAACGGATGCTGACGATCCTACATATGGCAACAGCGCCCGCGTGGTCTACAGTATTTTGCAAGGACAGCCATATTTCTCAGTGGAGCCAAAGACAGGTAAAAATTGAAATGTGACACTTGTAAAGCCATCATTTATATCTTGGCTTAGAATTAATATTAGTTATTTTTATTAAATGTGGTTGGCACTGATAACAGACATATGTTTATTGTGCTGTTAAAATGTCTACTTTGGAAATAAATAGCGAATTATTTATAGAGGAGTTGTCACCTTTTAAAGAATATTTAATTACATTTTTGATATCCTAAAGTAAGCAGAATACTATATGAGTGGACTTCACAAAGTTTGTAGAAAAATTGAATTAAAAGATAATACGAATCCTTCCATGAAAATTTTAAAGACCCTTCATGTATTCAAAAGTATTTCAGCTTCTCTCTGCTGACTGTATAAGATAATTTTGATTATTTACCTTTAAATTTTATTTTGGTTTTGTTTTTCTAGTGAATTCACATGAGAAATTATACATGGAAAACTCACACAGAGAAATCTCACACAGAGAAATCTCTCTGCCATGAAGTAGAATAGGTATTAGGTTCAGTTTATCCTTCTAGAGGCTGGTATTTGCACGGAAATTAGTGTAAACATAACAATTAGCATGATGATCTTCCAAAATAAAAAGTAAATTAAAAAATCATATTTTAATGTTAGGGGAAATTTTTTTTCTGTGAGTTGTAAGACTGTATAGATGGAATATTTATGTGGTTGACTTGTTCATTCTGTTTGGCTTTTAATCTGAAATAGTTTAGATTAAGTAAGACTATAACTTGGAGCATTGCTACCTTGGTTATAAAATGATATTTTGATCTATTCGGGTTTTCTTGCTCTGAATGTGTAAGGGAGAGATTGGTGGGGGTAAAAATCAGTGGGTGTGTGCCACTGAATTTTTTCATCACCATGAAAATCCAAAATTTCTCTTTTTAAATGTAATTTTGCTTTTGTTGTGGAGTAGAATTCTTCTTAAAATATATACATTTTTGATTATAAATATTTGATAGTACCTATGATCCTAAATGAATCTTTTAATGCTATTGATCCTGTTTTCCATATTTACCAAAAAAACAATATTAATTTATGCTCAAGTCACTGTGGGGATAAATATTTTAAATGTCTTTTGGGAATGAATAGAGAAGTAAATTCAATCCGAGCTCATTCATTATAACTTTCACAGAGACTGTAATACATATTTTATTCCAAAGTAGTGTAGAGTTTGAAAACCACCTGCAAAGTCTAATACAGAAGAAACAGTTACAATTAAGCAAGAATTGAAGGAGAATTAAGGTATTTGATTTATGATATGAATACTGTGACTGTCAAAAACGTGCTCGTGTTTGATTTAATGATAGATGTGAGAAGCCTAAATTTAAACCTTCCCTTTTCCTTATATATCTACTCTTCGCAGTCTGGAAAGACATTGACAAGTATCTGATGATTTGCTCACAAATTATGTACTCTTGCATTATATAACCTGTCCAAAAATAGCATGAATTAATCCCAAGGGTTAAATATTTTGCTGCAACTAATGATTGGCTTCTGGTTTTAACTTTGCTGTAGGATAACAGGATTTTTATAAAACCTTGTGGAGGTAAAGCCTTACCATTTAATCTACTGGACAATTAGTATATCTTGTGGGATTGCATTAGTAGTACATCAAACTTAATTTTAAATTTAGAATCTAAAGGATCGTGTATTACAGGAGTCGAAGAATGTTTAGTTTAATTATTTTTAAATGCTGTAATCATGGTAATCATCGGGACTTCTCATTCCATAGTCATTAGTGCAGAGATATCCTGGTCATTTCTGTCCTCTCTGCTAACTCATACTATGTAGAATACACTTTTTATAAGAAAAAAAACTGTATTTTTCTGACAAAAATGGAAAGATTTCAATCCTGAAGAGTGTTGAGAGCTATAAATCAAGGTTTAGTTACTCTTTTTTCCTTGGTATCAGTCTGATTCTTATCTAGGTGAGAAATAACATTATTTCCCACTTCTCCAAATCTAAGGATTTTTTGAGAAGAAAGGAAGAGCAAAAAGATAGGAAAAATATTAAAAATATGCTAAATAAAAATTATGTAAAAATAGGCCCAGACAATCACTAGTAGGTGCATTTCTATAAGATTGTTTAACTTCTTAAGAAAGTAGCAAGGTTAAAGCCTCAGAGCACATAGTTCATTTGTAGCAGGCCAGAGGGTAACGTATTTTGTTTACAGGCCAGAGGGTAACGTATTTTCTACCTTAATTTCTCTTTCCACAAAACCAGAATATTGACAATTTATCTCAACAAGCAAACAGATGACACTAGAAACAAGGTAACGCAGCATTAACAGCACTGTGAAGTTTCTTATCACCTGTCTTCATGCTGTCCATAAATTTACTGGGAGGCAGGATTATTCTAAAGTTTATTCACATATTCTATAACTTGGAAGCAAATAAATCCCATTTTTGGATCTATTTGATATATGAGAGGACTATGTACATACTTTACAGTTCAAAATGAAAATGGGGATCCCTTGCTCTAAAATGATTGAGGATTTTAAGGCGTCATCAGCAGAGTTTTAAACCAAGCACGGGGTCAGTATGACTGCCCAGGTCACATGGCCTTGAAGCTAGTCCAGGAAAATGGACTGAGTGTTACACATCACTTGTCTCTTAGGAGTTCTTTCTCAAATATATGAGGTGTGACTAACTGGTACGTACATTACATATTACATGTGTACATGTAACATCCTAATTTTATACCATCATAACAAACCACCCCTCCTGAGTATGCCCTTTACACACACGTTCCATTCTGTGGTATGGCTCATGTCATCCAGGGGCCTTCGTTCCTGTCAAAGCTTGCTGAGGATGGTCCTCACAGATGGCAAGAGGAGTCCCTTCCTCGGTGACTCTTCATTTGCTGCCAGCTCTGGAATCCTTTAGTGTTCAAAAGCTTCCATCTTTACTACTGTTGGCTCTTCTACAGTTCTCTTATATGCTACCTTTGCAAACAGACAGACCAAATAATACAGAGATTTGACACAAAATTTAGAAAGAAATGCAAACTTATTAGGAAGAGATTTGCCTTTTACATCTTATGTATAAAATAAAATGTACCTCCAAACCAGTTTGTGATTTCAGTTTTGAAAGTAATTCCCCCCCAACCTCCTTTAACAGTAATATGCTTCTTCTCAGAGCCAGAGCTATTCATTTCCTTCATATTTGATTTACTACCAATAAATACGAATAATAAAAGTACCATGCTTGATTTTATTGCCTTATTTTATTAAACTTATTTATAATTAGTGTATATCAGTGTCTAAACTATTACCATCAAAGAATATTTTTAAAAGCAGAAAGCAAGTCTTACATATTTTTGCTCACTACAGTTTCTAGGTTTCTTTGAAATTTAACTTTCAAGTGTTGTGAATATTTATTTTCCTTAAAAGTTGAAAATGTTTTATCCAGGATCTATTTTACCATGCCTCAGTTTCTGCAGTTGTAAGAAAGTGTGTTGCATGACCCTGGTATTTATTCATCTCTGTAATTCTACAAATATACAACACAATACTTCACAAATTTAGTCACATAATAGATTATATATTTTTATGTACACCAGCATATTTATTTTCCAAATTCCGTTCAAGTCTCAAAAATCTACACACCTAAGAATGTTTGCCCAGGGCCGGCCCGGTGGTGCACTGCTGTAGTGCGCCGCTTGGGAAGCACGGCGGCGCTCCCCGCTGAGGGTTCAGATCCCACATACAGACCGGTTCCCGCTCACTGGCTGAGCGAGGCGCCGGAGCAACACCGAGGGTTGCGATCCCGTTGCTGGTCCCGGTCCGGTACGGGGGCGACACTGAGGGTTGCGATCCGTTGCCGGACACGGAAAAAGACAAAAAAAAAAAAAAAAAAAAAAGAATGTTTGCCCATCCCATTCTTCATTTGTCCTCTAATTTATTTTTAATTAACTTTTTATACTATAATGTTTTGATTTTTTTTTTCTTTTTTAGTTTCAGTCATTATCAATATGTTACATCCCAGAACGAGTGATTGGGTTTACTATATCTGGTGAAATACTCATGAAGGGGCTCTTCCCAGGAAAGAGGGTGGCCATTAGGAGTCTGAATGAATTTACAAGAGTGACTGTAGCTATTCAATCAGAATGTGCATGGGGAGTTCCTACTTTTCACTTCTAATATAAAAGCTGACCATACTGAATTAAAATATGCAATTGTTTCTTTACTAGCAAAACATTGCATTGGAATTCTTTCCTTAATATGCATTATATTTCTAAACATCATATAACATAACATTCATTGGTATAATGTAAAACAGAATAGGCTAATGTTGGTAATAAGCGTCAGTGAGATATTTTAAAATATTAATAATGCATACTGACAGAAACTGAATACGTAAGTATATATTCAGCTCATTGGCAGTTGTAGAACAATAGCAATATAAGTTTTTGTTTTATATGTACAATGCTTTTTGTGAATGTGGATAATAAATAAGTTAAAAGTTCTGAGTTACTAGGCCAGATTTTTTCATCAATTTATAGAAAAATTCTTATTCAGAAAACCTAAAATGTGAGCCAGTGTCTTTTCTAAAAAGACAATAGATTTTTCTTTCTCATCATAAATGACTTAAAATTATTGATTATTGAAGTTAAATCAGATCACTATCTTCCACGAAAATCTCACAGAACTGTAGGGATACAATTAAACCAGAGTGGTCTTTACCAGTTCAGATACAAAGTGTTAACAATTTACTCTGTGTGTATATATAATATATGACAAAACACAATCAAGTCCAATGTATGAGATGATTTTCCAAATATAGATAGTTTATACTTAAGAATAAAAGCTAAGAAAAGTTATACATCTAGAAATCTTTTACTACTGAATATCCTTATTTAAATTCAAATTTTCCCAGTTATTCCACTCCTGTCAGAAATATATGTTCATTAGTTGAAGCATTTGGAAATTACCTTTGCCACCTGCATTAATTTGCAAACTTTGTGATGATTTTTGCTTTGGAAAAGTGCTATTTACAGGATTGCTTGTAAAGAGACAATTAGAGGTGTAAGAAATAAGTGACTACCAGATTTCTATTTTAATGATTTTGTTTCCTTTCAAAAATAATGCCACCGAGCAAAACCACGAGGGAATGAGGCTGTGATATTTATTTGCCGACTATTTGAAATGTTATGGACTTCTCTTCATCATAATAGATGTGCCAGGATGATAACTTATACATATTGATATCGGAAGGAAAAATGTGTAAGACATTTTTTCTTAAAAAAAAAAACCTCATTAATATTTTTTCATATACATAAACCATATTTATTGGTCAAATGTTCAAGATAAGCAATGTTCAATTTTGTTTTTAATAAAAAGGCTTACCAAAAATAAAAGGATGATTAACAGCAAAAAAAAGAAAAAAAAGAAAAATGTGGAGATATGTAAGTCCCAGAACTCTTAGACAAAGATTGTTTATGTTTGATGACAGTTGAGTATTGCTAGGATCAATGCTTGTTATGATATAGATTAGAGTTAACAGAAGTTTTGAAGAACAAACATTGAATATTCATAGAGTTATTGTGGTTCTAAGGAGAATATTTATGTATTAGACACTTACTAACTGGATCTAATGGGTGGTAAATTACTGTGTTCCCCCCCAATTTTCATTGTAATATTTCAGAAATTGTAAGTGTGTATCTATAGCCAAAATGATTCAATGAAGGTGTTAATGTGAGCCTATATTGCTGTGATTTTAGCAAGTGTCCAATTGCAGTTATTATATTGAATGAAGTGAGTAATGTTAAAAAAGTGAGTAATTACACTTACTCAAACAAGTGTAATTTAAGTGCTTATAATATAGATGTGGTGCTTTTGTGTGTGTGTATTTGTGTTTGAGAGCTAGTGCTCAGATCTAAACAAAAATATAGTTGCGTAAGATAGGTATGTGTTATTTAACTCTGAATATTGGAAATACATTTTTATAAATAATAAATTTTTATAAATTATTATAATTTGTTGGAGAGGAAAAAAGTAATGGAAAAGATATGTTTCTTGCTATGTACTGTTACAGCTGATTGCCCATTATTCTAGATAAGGCATATAAATTTCTTATTTCCTTAACCATGTTTCCATGAAACTTAAAGATAATTCTCTCCAATAGTGAGAAGACCACATTATGTCATTTTCTGTTTTGTATTTTTGTAATATTGCATAAAATTATCACATCTCTTTGATCTTTAATACACATTGAAATTATTAAAAGTAAACAAACAAAACAACAAAAAGCAGTAACTGAAGAGACACTTGCTACTTCTATCAATGTTCTTGATTAGTATAAAGGCAGTGATTCATGATGCGTTTTACTGGGATTTGAAATTTTACAGGAGTCATCAAGACCGCCCTTCCAAACATGGATAGAGAGGCTAAAGACCAGTATTTGCTTGTTATTCAGGCAAAGGATATGGTTGGTCAAAATGGAGGACTGTCAGGAACCACATCTGTCACTGTGACCCTAACTGATGTCAACGATAACCCACCTCGCTTTCCTCGAAGTAAGCAATTTTGTTGAATAATCCAAGTGCAATAACTTTCCCTGCCAGCCTATAAAACATATCTTAAAAGGAATTTTTTCAATTACTTCTAAGATAAATAATTCTCTTAGTGCATTCTTCCAAAATTGTACTTCATCAGGGACATAATTTTAATTTAGTAATATGGAATTATAAGGGTATTGAAAACAAATAGAAGCCATCATATACTTATATTACTTCTATCTTTAATACAATTTGATTTTTCATTTATTCACATTTTGAATACGAGACAATTCTTAATTGTGTTTGTGTAGTTCCTAAGATTTATTTTAAATACATTTTGTAAATTATGAGGTTGTTGTAAATTAGTAATATCCAAATACACCTTATCAATTCTATGCAATAAAATTATTGATTTATTTTTAAAGATTAAAAAAAGAAGTTATAAACATTTTTATTTTTTATTCCACACTTTTTTATAGCAAGTTAATGCAAACTGAACCTTCCTTTAGCAGTTCTACTGCATCTTTCTTGTACAAACACTCAGTGTTTCAAAAGAAACCAGTTGAAAGAACTAGAAAAAAGCATGCCCTCAACTCAGCTTCTTTGACTTAAGTGGTTTTTGACTTAACAAAGAAAAAGGGAAAAAAAGTATATATATCGTACATATATATATATGTACATCTCCAAGTAGAGATGTCCTGTTTGTAAAAACCATTTCATCTCTCTTTTTAGTTGCTTTTTTTGTTAGTGTATGTGGCATTTCTTTAGAATACTCAAGAAAATAAAGATTGTCCAGACTACAATGTCTATACAATGTCTCTAAAATCCTTGTCCAAAAGAAATGGGTAACTAAGCTCCCTATCAACAGAACTTAGAAGAGAATAATACGGAAGCTTTCTGAACAAATATGACTGCCACTATTTTTCCTTCCAATTATGTTTCTTTAGTTATTTCATTTTTATTTCATTATTATACAACAAACATTTCAATACCTCCTGGCAATATAAAGAAATGACCTCAAGTTTAGCATTTTTAACAATTGAATCTATCTTAATTGTGATCTTGATGGTTATCCTGGGGGAAAGGAAGGGCTTTTAGAATGAAAAAATAGTAATGTACTTATCTTGGGCTCATAATAAAATTCACTGCTTCTCTTTTCTTTAAGCCTGGAATGACAAGAATTTATACTGAGAATTCTAGTAATTCCAGTTGTTATTTTCTGATAAGATAGAGCACAGGTTTTCTAGCTTATTAGATACTCTTATTAGATACTTATTAAAGTGAGGAAAGCCAAGGATATGACATTGAGATTTTCATTTTTGCTGGGATTTTCTCTGCCATTTAATTACTATCCTAACCTTGAAAAGTTTGAATTTTACTAAGGACACTTCTAGAAGTGTGAAAAGGTCACTCAAAAATGATAAGCATATGTTGTAATCAATTTTCTAAAAAACAGTAACTATTCACAAACTTTAGAAAATTGCAAATAAATATCAGCCTAAAACATAATCCCTTCATATGGCTACATTTTTCTTTCTATATTCTTCTCAGAGAGAATCCTTTCTTCTTTCATAAGAAAGTACAAATACACCACAGGTTAACAACCAAAAGGAAATAGAATAGATGCAGGAAGCAAGAAAAAGGAAATGATTAGAGAAAAACGGTGAAGGAACATTTTGTCCAAGGCATTTTCTAGTTTCTGAGTTCATGTACTTTATCTGTTGTTTTTTTTTTTTAGTTGAGGGATGGTAAAGAGGAGAAATCACAGAAGTTAAACAAAATTAAACTTTTTTGGTCTTTTTTGCTTCTGTTTCTTCCTATTCAAATGATATTGCCTATGATCTTGTACCATTGTGTCCCAAAGCAGTTCTACATACAACTCACAAAAAATAATTCTTATCCTTGGTAAATTTGTGAGCTAAAAGAAGACTAATATTGTCTTTCAGAGACTTTCTTGTCCAGTTTTCTGAAACTTTCCTAATAAATTTCCTAGGTAAATTCCAACATTAAGTTATCAGATATATTTAGGCTTGTATTTGCTCATTTGAAGCCCAAGCTGTTCTATTTCTATTTCTTAATATTTATATTATATGATAACAATTATTCTACTTAATATAATTAATTAATATTAATTTATTATAATTAATTATAACATATAATTAATTATTAAATATGAATAATTAAATATAATTAGTATAATATAATATAATGTATTTACAATTATTTTAAATTTATTTTAATTATTAAAGGTAGCATATTTCTTACCACTACAAATATAAAAATGGAGATGTGTCTCTTGCCTTTCCTCAAGCCATCTGTTTCTGCTATACCATAGTAATCATTATCTAACTGTCCCCATAAAATTTCTTGAGGCTATATGAAACTTGTCACTTGTCTCATACTGCCTTAGAATCTTCTTTATTGAAAAATAAAAACAAATCAAGCAAAGATGATGTAAAAGAACCAAACAGTTAAAATTTTATTTGTCACCCTGATGTAAGGCTTTGTTCATTTCTTCTTTTGAATTTCACAGGGTCTTACCAATACAATGTCCCAGAATCATTGCCTGTAGCCTCGGTTGTAGCCAGAATTAAAGCTGCCGATGCAGATATTGGAGCTAATGCTGAAATGGAATACAAAATTGTGGATGGTGATGGATTAGGGATTTTTAGGATTTCTGTTGACAAGGATACACAGGAAGGAATCATTACTATCCAGAAGGTAACTTTTTTGTTTTTATTTGTATCTTCTGTGAGGGCGACATCACAGATTACTGAGAAGTCATGTCTGCTTTGATGGAAGAATGAACTAGAAAACTGAGTGGCTATTTGGAGCCATTTTTATTTTAATTTTAGTAAGATGAGCTATGCATTTATTTTTAGGTGTCAGAATCTTAGTGAATGTTGAATGACATTTGTAATAACACCCCATCAATTCTATTCTCTGAGTAAACCCTTAGACCTTATATTTGGCACTGTAACAATAAGGCACACTGGTAAATGTGCTGTTTTAAATGACTTACTTGGAGAGATGAACGTTTTATCTTTCTTGACAATTCCACTAGTAAAACCCTAAACTCAACCAAAAGGCTTTGTATGGAAACTAGATAGACACTATTATTTTCTCCATACATGGAAATAATACAGATAAAATGGGAAGTAGAAATCAAAATGTTAAAGACTTACTAAATTACAAATGATTCCTTGCTAAAATTTATAGAAACTGTAGGACTTGAAGAATTTGTAAAAAAAGAGCATGGAAAGTTGTGAAGATTATCATAATCTCTTAAATAAAAGTACAAAGGAGATAGAAAGCCAGTACAATCCAAACTGAAGATTATTTGCCATGGTATGTTTAAATTAGCTCCTAACACTGATTAGATAATGGGGGAAAATGGACTCTTTATTCCCTCTTCTGTGTAGAAGATTTTCAGGGTCTTTCAGAAATGTTCAATTAAAAAAAGAAGGCAAAAGGTATTATTCCAGAATACAGTCTGACCTCAAATATTTGAAACATTAAAAATATATAAAAATCCCCACTCTCCCAAGGTACTGGGATTTTTTTGCCAGTCTGACAATCCAGGTGTATAACTCTGTAATTAACACTCCTCAATAATTAACACATATCAATAAAGAAAGTTACATTTTTGTTGTTAGAGGAAAACATATGTTTGATTTTAGGCCAATGGGCAAACAGTTCTGCAATTATTTCCAGTGGACAGCTGCTGTTTTAACTCAGCTGGTAACAATCTGTGTACCGAAATTTTAATAACTAGGATAGGCCAACTGTTGGTAAAATATTTTGTTTTGTTGTTTAAAATAAAAGGAAAGCAGTAAGGTTCAATGCTGTTCAAAGATTTAAAACATTCATGTGAAATCAATCTGCTCATTTTCAATAATTTGTTAATATTTAATATTTTTATTGAACACATACATATATTTTATATATTATAATGGAGATAGCATGCTTCACTGAAAAAAATGTTTTATATGATATATTTGATTCAGTAATAGAAAAATAAATTTTTATCATCAATTCCTAAATATTATCTCTAAAAGTTTTAGAAAATTAATTGTTAGAAAGGAAACCAAAAAAATTGATGAAAAAATGTTTAAAAGCATAAAACTCATGAAAAAATTAGGAGAAATTTAATCCTAAGTTATAACAACAGAAAAACAACACAAATAATTATTGTTGTTGTTATAGGTAGTGATAAATATCTGCCAGCCTTTGTTTTGAGTAGTGGAAAAGGCTTTATGTTATTTGATTTCCTCAATCTCATGAAAGTAGTATTACTATAATGAAAATATAGAAACATTGTAAAATGTCTGACAGTGAAATAAATGTTTAAATAATTTACACTATTGCCATATATTTTTTTTTTTTTGTCTTTTGTCTTTTTCCGTGTCCGGCAACGGATCACAACCCTCAGTGTTGCCCCCGTACCGGACTGGGGACCGGCAACGGGATTGCAACCCTTGGTGTCGCTCCCGCGCCTCGCTCAGCCAGTGAGCGGGAACCGGTCTGTATGTGGGATCCGAACCCTCGGGCCGGCCCCACTATTGCCATATTAAGGAATCTTTTCACATCACTGAAATGATGTAATGATGTTGTCTTAGCATATTAATATGGGAAATGCTTCCATTAAACATTATGCAGAAAACATAGTATCCAAAATTTTGCAAACTCTGTGGTTCAAATTTTATGGAAATTGCATTTATACAGAATAAAAGATTGTAAGAAAAATGTCAAAATATTAATACATATCTGGGTATTACCTTTGCTGGTTTTCAATAATGCATAAGATGCATTTGTTATTGTTATGGTTAAAATGTCATCAAATATATAAAAGTGTTATTAAAAAACCAAATCTAAATATGTCTCATTAATACCACTTTACAATCTACTTTGATTGACATTGGGAACGGAAAGTCTTATTTAAATGCAGAAATAAGTCACAGAGATATCATTCAGTGAGCTCAAATTTAGGGTATTGTTGAAGTGCTTTTTAGTATTAAAAAAGGCATTGTCCCTTGTGTAATAAATTGATTCAAAAACATTCCAAATATTATAAACATTTTTACTAATGGAATTTTATTTTTGATACCAGAAATTCCCTACCCATGCACAGCAATCTAAATGGTGCTTTGCAACTAATAAATACTCAATCATTGGTTATTAAAAATTCATCCATCATTCTATAAATTCACTAAATATTTTAATAATTTCTTTTGCTGAACATAAAATCAAAACTGTGCTATTTTCAGTTGAGGTTCTTGGCAACTAAAAATTAATTTTATTTTCTCCAGTGGATTCTAATGTAGGAATACTCTGTAATTGCTGTTCTTTGTTTTGTTACATAATGTCAATTATTGTTTTGGAATAATTAAGCACACACAGTGTATAGGAACATCTTAAGAAACGATGCTGGAAAATTTCATAATTTTACTGCTGTGGCATAAATATCCAATAAAAATTTTATGTTTAATAAAGTCATTCTTGTTCATTCTGAACTGCTAAAGGGAATAAATAACCAAATTGACCATCACTCTACCAAGGCTCAAAAAATTACACTTAGGTTAAATGCAGGCATGTTAAAGACATCCCCAGAAACCTCAGGTGTTGAACGGTAGGATAACTTTCTATATCATTCTGAGCCTAGTAAAACACACTGTTTATTCAAATAATAATTAAAAAATTAGTAATGGTTTAATACCTTTTATGATGGTTGCTCAAACTTGCTTTAACTTTCCTAATGTGGAAGACAGATCTGATTTTTAAGATTTCTCTTGATGCGCAGAATATATTGACCACATTGCGGCAGAACCATTAGATTCTGAAAGCAAAATAATCTACAACAGATAACATGAGCTTACGCAGTATAGTTCTGCCAAATTTTGATGATCCTTAACTCATCATAGTAGGATGCATGTGTGTTAAGACAGGATATCTGAAACTTTGCTATTTGAAAAAGGTAAAATAAAATAAAAAACCTATGATGCTTATAAAGTACAGATAATATCTGCATGGAAATAAGTGGAAATAAAATATCAGTTTTATTCATGCTAAAAATCCTTAGTGTTAGCAAATGTCACTTCACACTTTCTTCCCACCCTCCTTCTTCTCCATGTAGTACTCTTTTTTCCCCTCTTTTTTTAGCTATTTGGAAATATTTATTTTTAATTTTTTATTGGTTATGAATATCCATGAGATACAAAGCTGATTGTCACCCCTCGTGCCCAAGATGTGAAGGCCACATCCATACTGGCAGCATGCACCTTACCACAAGTTGTGTTTGTACCCCATGTCCCCAACCCAATTATCCCCAACCTCCCTCTCCTCCTTCCCCCCGACTCCACTTTGTATTCCTAGGTATGTTCTCTGCCTCTGCAAGTCCAATGCACCACTGTGGTCTTTCTTTCCTTCCTTCTTTCTCTCTTAGCTCACACTTATGAGTGAGTACATGTGGTATTTATCCCTCTGTGCTTATAGTTCTGAGTAAATATTAGATACTGAGGCAATTACCTGGTATATATCAGCCTACTTTTTATTTCCAAAGCTCCCTCTACCCCCAAACTCATTTTTAAAAATTGTAATTTTTTATTCTCTGCTTATATGTCACCATGCCTAAGCAATCCAACTCAGAAATCTCACCCATATAGAAGCAAACAAATATAAATAGGTAATTTCTGTAAGAGCTGATTAAAAATAGTAGAAATGATGCATTCACTGTTCTTGCAATATAAGCTTGGTGATTGCAGAGGTTTTTCTTTCACTTGCCAAAACCGTTTATAGTATTATATTTTCATCTAGTTTTTAGTTGAAAAACTAGTATTAATCCATAGTTTTTCATTCTCAAGTATTTTTAATTTATTAAAAAATGTAATTCACAGTTTCTATGCAGATACTATGCCTTGCGCTGTACTAAGTCTTGCTTGTCCTGTTTAAAATCTCAAATGAAGCTCATATTACAATTCCTTATATGGAATTCGGAGTACTACTAGACCCATAGAATCATTCAGACTGATATTTGCTAGACACACATTCCACATTCCCCACTTGCTTTCAGAGATACAGAGTAGACACAAACTATTTTTAATTCCTGGAAGCAACACTCTTCCAAGTCTGGAATACAGCTCTCATTCTTCCTTTTTTAAACTAACCAGGTAAACAGAGGAAGCAAAATTGTCTGTGCAAATAAGTTTTTTTTTTTTTCTTTTCAAGGAAGGGAGTGTGTGTGTGTGTGTGTGTGTGTGTGTGTGTGTGTGTGTGTGTGTGTGTGTGTGTGTGTGTGTCCCTTCAATGGTGGGAGCAAGTCTAATGTCATATAGATGTTTTGGTTTCATAAATACCATGATTAGTTTTCATAGATTTATCTGTGGCCACAGGATTTGGGTAAATATCCAAGGCTCTGTAGAAGCATCCAAGACAGCTCAGGCCCCATCTGCCAGCCAACCGGTCAGTCCACCCGAGGCTCTCAGCATTTGCATATGGTCTTGGGAAGGAGTTGAATGGTGGATGCATAACACTGTACCTCAGGGAGACAAGGGAAAGGCATGCTTTTTCACAGAGGTAGCCACCACTGCAAAGACTTCACTGTATGAAATAATATGTCAGGTTCAGGGAACCAGAGCTAGGACAATTTTACTGGAGAATAACGTGGAAGGAAATGTGATCACCAGATGAGGCGATGTAAGTGCCAGGACTACTGAAGCCTCCTT